CTCTAAATTGTCCCTAGGTGTGAGTGAGAGAGTGAATGGTTGTTTGTCTCGTTTGTCTCTGTGATGGACTTGCGACCCGTCCAGGGTGTACCCCGCCCCTCGCACTGTGATTGCTGGACATGGGCACCAGCGACCCCCGTGACCCAAAATGGAATAAGCGGGTAAAGAAAATGGATGGATGGATGGAAATTTTCTAAATAAATGCATTGTTTTACCGTATATATTGTATTGTATCGTATCGTAATGCATCACACTTCATTGTATCATATCAAACTGGTCTCTCTTGTAAATGAGTCCTCGTGACTCAATGACAATAACCTGTATAAATAAAGGTTGAATGAATATCAGTATAAAATTGTATCGCATATCGTATCATTTCACATTGCTTTGCATTGCAACCTATGACATAGCTTAACAAAAAGATTTTATAGATTACCAGATAGTTTTCTGAACTGCTCTCATCTTTTTTTTTTTTTTTCATTTGGTTTAATGTTGCAGGTTCTTCCTCCCAGACTGAACAGGACCCCTGTGTGTCTTATCTACGTTTCCCCGTTAGTCACAGCATGGCGCCCCTCAGCCGTCTGTTGATCTACTACGTGAGAGAAAATGGTGAAGGTGTAACAGACAGTCTGCAAATCTCTGTCCAGCCTGAATTTGAGAACCAGGTTTGAAAACTAAATTTGTTATCACTATATAACCAAGTAGCAGGTCCAGAAAGAAAGAGAACTTGGGCACGTTTAGATACAAGGGTGGTTTATGTGTTGTAAGTCTCTGCTAAAACTTTGATGTTTGGGGATATCAAATTATGTGTTCCTGTTAAAATTAGTATTTATTGGAAAAAGCTGGAATTACGGTATACATTTTGGAGCTGAGCCTACATATCCATGTACCAGCCGTTACACCACAGGGTAATGTCAGTAAACAAACAGCTGCCTTGGCCTTAGAGCGCTCCCTGAATTAGGTGGAGTTAACTCCCTGAAGTATTTACAGCTCTGTGGTATGCCCTTACAACACTGTGTTTGTGTGTGTGTGTATGTGTGTGTGTGGCCACAGGCAGATAAGTAGGGTCATGACAGGGAAGGATGGCAGGTTACAGATGGGTGAAAGGATGGAATGATCTAAGTAATGTGACTAATTTGTGACCGTGTGCTGGAGAAAAATAGTGTTGATGTGTGAAAAGTTATGACTGATTCTCACTAACAATTCCTTTGTAAACATTCCGGTTTTCCACTCTGGCAGTCGTAGTGTTTACTATCGTATCTGAATGCTTAAAAAGCTTTACACTGATGCTTCTTCAGATTATAAACTAACTTTAGCGCTCATTACCTATCCAACACTGCCAACTAGTGATCAAATGATTTAATCAAGCAACTAAAAGTTTCATACGTGAAAAAGATATACCGTCCGGTATCCCAAATTCTGTTTTAGAATCTCCTAACAATGTTGTCTCTTTTTTTTTTTTTATGCACAATTTTGTTCTGCATTAAAAGTTGAAAGTCTGATTTGAAAGTTAGAAATTTGTGTTTATATGCATGACAGTAGTCTTCTCCTCGTTGTTTGGGTTGTAGGTATTTGTTTCTTTGTCGTCTAATGACTCAATTCCTGGAGACCCAGTGACCCTGCATGTCCAGGCAGAGAGGGGCTCATGTGTTTGTGTGGCCGCTGTGGATAAAAGTCTCTACTTGTTAAAGCCGGACTTTCAGCTAAGTCCTGACAAGGTTTGTCACATCGGGTTTTTTCCACATCAATAGTGTGTAGTGAATGAAAGTATTCTATGGCTTTAAGTACAATGTCAAATACTTAGCTTGTTCCTTTATTGCTAGAAATTCATAAATTTAATAGGATTCTATTTGTTACTACTGTATTTTTTTTGTTTGTTTTTGTGCACAAATGAGTTTTTTTGTGCAGGTGTTTAAGGAGTTGGCTGACTTCGACGTTTCAGATGTTTTTGGCTTACCTAAAGATGACGGACACATATGGTGGCCTGGACTGTCATCAAAGAGACGCAGGCGGTCTTCTGTGTTTCCGTGGCACTGGGACATAACTAAGGACGCACGCTTTGCTTTCACAGTGAGTATATACAGTTAAACTGCCCAACATGATGCTAGACGATAAAAATGACAACCTTCCTCTGGCTGTGTATGTATCCCTCTGCGTATTTTGTACAGGAAACGGGGCTGGTGGTGATGACAGACATGGTGAGTTTGAACCATCGGCAGAGCGGAGGGATGTACACAGATGAGGCTGTTCCTGCCTTTCAGCCTCACACGTCCACTTTGGTGGCTGCCATGCACTCCCGTACCACCTACAGGTAGACGACTAGGGATGTTTGAGGTATGGGTATTAGTGATGGGCGGGTTGACTTGAACCACTACCTTGGGGGATATTGGTGGGATTGCTTTGTTAAGAAATTTTAAATGTTTGTGCAAGATAAAAAGTGAAACAGCAGCATAATATCTGTTATTCATCATTTATTTCCTTGTGTTTTGACTGCAGATCTGAGAAACGAAAGCGCACATTTTTCCCAGAGGCTTGGGTGTGGCATTGCCTCAATGTCAGGTATGTCAATGATTTGTGTTTGTTTCATGTGAGTGTTTCTGTTAGCTTGATCTAGAAATGATTTCATGTGAATTAATGACTTCTGAAGAATGTGGAGCAAAAGAAACCCAGTAGGAATAAATAAATATGATGAGAAAAGTTGAGGCTCAACAGGAGATGTGCAGAAAGCAGCCCTGCAGGTCCACGTTACGTGGTGCTCCAGCATCCAGCTTTTCTCCTTCTAGGTCATCATTTCATGCTCTTATTTTCTGAAGAGCTCCTCTCATATCCAGGCAAAATACAAATAAAAACTGCCTGGAGATATTTATATGATATATTCATCTAGTTAGAGTTTTAGGATAAACATTTTGAAGTACAGATTTTTAACCACTTTGATCAAACGCAATTTTTGACGTTTACTATGTTTCAAAGGGTTGCCAAGTCCAACATAAAATTCATGCTGCCAAGAATGACCTCAATCTATTTCATTGGTGGAAAAGACTTGGTCAGCACCTGAGTGTTCCTCACTGTCCATTTTATAGTCTTTGCTGTAGTTACATTGGTGCAGATGTTAGTGTTGACACAACATAAAAATTCAACTGACGAAGCCATTCTTTGTAAGAAACGTGCTTTTATTGCTTACGTTAAATTATTTTTCACATTATCCAACATTTTTGGTCCACCTAATTTGTACCTCAATATATCACTGACAGCTCTGACACTGGAGAGGCTGACCTGCACCTGCATGTGCCAGATTCAATCACCTCTTGGGTCGTTGAGGCTGTCAGCCTGTCTGAGGAGAAGGGACTGGGTTTAGCAGAGAGGACAGAACTACGGACCTTCAAGCTGTTTTTTGTTGACTTTACGCTGCCCTACAGCTTAATCAGAGGGGAGCAGACCAAAGTTCCTCTCACCATCCACAACTACCTGCCTACTTGTTCAGAGGTAAAAAATGATGACACACTATTTCCCTCATAGACGGATATACCATTAAAAGCAGAAAGACTAAATTACAATACTAAGAAAATAAACTTCATGTTATGAAAAAGAATTATGGGAGTTTAAAGAAAGTATTTGATGTGGGTACTACAGATTAGGGAAGAATGTATGAAAATATGAAAATGCATTGCCAAATCCAACAAAGTTCAGTCAGATCATCTGGACGGCTTTTTTTTTTTTTTTTTTTTTAGACGTTTCGTTCTTCATCCAAAGGACTTCATAAGTCTCAGGAGCAACAAATAAACTCAGTCCAAGCAGCACACTCACATAGTGGACCAATCAGTTTGCTGGTGATAAGATGGTTTCTGGGGCCAGCCCTCTCCCCCGTCGACTCCTCTGAGGCAGTCATGGTCAAAGTGATTCAAAAGATCAAAGTTCATGCTCAATAATCCAGGTAAAATAATCCAACAAAGTTCAGTCAGGTCATCTGGACGGTTTCTTTGTTTTCTTGAGATGTTTCAGCCTTCATCCAAAGGACTTCATCAATCTGAGGAGCAACAAAAAAACTCAGTCCCACAAGCAACACACTCACATAGTGGATCAACCAGTCAAAAAAAAGAAACCATCCAGATAACCTGACTGAACTTTGTTGGATTTTTTTACTTGGATTATTGAGCATAAACTTTGATGTTTTGAAACACTTTGGCTGTGGCTGCCTCAGAGGAGTCAACAGGGAAGAGGGCGGGGCCCAGAAACCATCTTATCACCATCAAACTGGTTGGTCTACTATGTGAGAGTGCTACTTGTGGGACTGAGTTTGTTGTGGCTCCTCAGACTGATGAAGTCCTTTGGATGAAGGCTGAAACATCTCAAGAAAACAAAGAAACCATCCAGATGACCTGACTGAACTTTGTTGGATTTTTTTTTACTTGGATTATTGAACATGAACTTGATGCATTACCAACTGTGCATTATAAATCACTGTAACGATCTTTTCATGCGTGCGAGTTTATAATTCTGCATTAAGCAGAGCTTCCTTGATGTCAGAAAATTGTTAAATAAGTCAAGGATCCTTATGGAAAGTAGACAGACACAGGTAGGCCCACAGGGCACAGAGATACTAGAAATTCCAAAGTAAGGTGGGTAATGTAAAGAATCGATATTAGCTCAAAAGTATTTTCCAGCACTTAATTTTGAAGAGCCCTCCAAACTCTACCCTGGTCCTAACAGGGTCCATCCTACGCTCCATGCAGATAACATCATAATGTTTGCAGATGAGCCTGTCGCAATGATCTGTGTGCGCTGCCCTGATGTCATGATTGGTGAATATGCAAACCAGAATAGCCCTTCCTTTGATGTCCACTCCAGCAACATGTGATTTCTATATTTCCTGCTCAGTTATTTATGGCTTTATGAAGCGTGCCGATAAAGAACAGTTAAAAGATTCCTTTGCATTACGAAGCCTTGTGGAAATTGGACAATGAGTGCAACTCAATACTTCAGGGAGCCTGAGAAGCATTAGTCAGGCAGCATGGAAAATTTGCCATGTGATTGAAAAACTCTCCCTTTGCTTTCAGCGCTTGGAGAGAGAGCACGCAATATGAAGGAAGCCGAACAAATGTGATGTCATTGTAGACTGTCGGGGGAGATCAGTCGGCTCTGATTTGTGTTTTCCTCTCTTCTCGTTTCATAGGTTCATGTGAAAGTGTCTGTTCCAAAAGGCGTCAAATTTATTGGCCATCCTGGGAAGCACCATCTTACCAGAAAGAAGTGTGTTGCACCTGGAGAGGCTACTCCTACATCTATTGTGTTGTCTTTCACTGAACTGGGATTGGTTAACATTACAGGTGCCCCAATAGAGCAATCACTTAATGTTCATCAGTTTGTAAAAAAACAACAACAAAAAAAACCATTATTTTATTTACATTTATTGATTTTGTTAGTGTGGAGAAAATGTCATGAAAGGCACATGTCAACAAATTTGCTGTTAGAAAAGAATATGGCGTTTGAATTTTTATACTCAAGATACATTTGTTTGTGTTGAAATCATAAAAGAAATGACGTGTTTGGAGTTTTAGGCTTTTACCAGGATCTCTGCTGGTCAACAAGCTGAGTTTTGTATGATCTAGTCCCCCACCCAGGTTACAAATAGTCATGTGAAAACAAATCCCACCAGCAGTGGGAGAGTAACCAGATCTGCGCTGTGACACTCAGTGGCATGTTGATGAGGCTGCAGGTCACTTGCGGTCAATGGGCCCCCCATGGTCTCACTCACAGTTCCCTGGCCCCTTGTGTTTCCTTCTGACTAAACACACATAAAGAAACTCTGCTGGCACTGTGCCACAAATCCAATGTGCTCCACATAAAGAGAACTGGGCGTCCCTCTACAGTCATGTTTACTCTACCTAATGAATGTCAGTGTCCACAAATAATTAGCGGTATGGCCTCTTCTGGGTATCACAAGATTTATTTTGACCTTACAGATGCTTTCTGGTGTATCATGTCAGTGCAGAAGTAGTTGGGAAACATAGTCCAGAACCTCCAGTGAAACCAGTGCTCTTGTTAGATTGGGGGAACAACCAGTGCTTACCATAAGAACTGCAAACTTTTTGACCTTTTTTAGGAGTCGGCAGCTGTTTGCAAATCAATGTGACCTGGAATTGTCTTGGTTTCCAAGTCATTTAGACTGTTCATGCTGCTTAAACTGACAATCTGACAAGCAAGGTTATCAGAGGATGAGCATAGTAATAGTTGTCAAAGAGTTAGTTTAGTGTCAGTCAAGAGTCTTGGTTCTTCCTAAGCCCAGTTCTCCTTCCTCCATTATTGCTGTTTTAGGTTTTAAGATACTATATGTGGGTTTATAATAAATAAATACAATTGGAATTCTTTTTTTTTATTCAAGCATCCAATATCTTGCAGTGTAGCAGGGATGAAATAGCAGTAGCAGATTTGTAAAAATGAGAGCTGACTGTATTTTGTTGTACTTTGACAGCCCGTGCCATTGCTTACAATGCACCAAGCTGTTGTTCAGATGGACTCTTGACTGGCAAAACAGGCAGTTATGTAGATGAACGGAGGATACCAACAGGCCTGGATTATGTCCGCAGGACTGTCTTGGTGGAGGTAAAATAACACACAACATCGTCACTTATGGGAAATATTTTTATATTTGTTTATTTGTCAAAGGGCAGCTCAAAATTTTGTGTCAGTGTATTATTAATGTGCAAAGAATCAATATCACAAAAGACTACAGTTTATTTTAAGTACTATGAATTCTTGTTTTGCATGCCAATTTATATTAATGGCCAATCTAATGCATCTATATGTAACAGTTCATACTGTCATGTTTTATTGTGCTCTTTTTGCTTGATTTTTTTCTCTCTCTCCCATGCTTCACTTGCAGCCAGAGGGGCTTCCGAGAGAATACACATACAGTGTTTTTTTCTGTCCTAATGGTCAGTGCAAATATGCTTCTAATACCATATCCCTACAGTTTGTCAGAATGCAAAGGGGTGTTACAGTTTTATAATGAGTCTTGTTCCTAATTGTATATTAGTCATGATTTAAAATTGTATAAATATAAGTGTATTTTGTATTTCCATCTTTAGAGAGGATCCATATTTCCACTCCTAATAAGTATGAGTATCAGTATGTCAAAAAGCCAGCCAAGATGGACCAGTTTGATGTGGCAGTGAAAACGCACAACGATGCTCATTTCGCCCTCTCAGCTAGTCCCCATGACAGCGTAGGGATGCTTGAGATTGTATTAGGTGGGAGGCAGAACACTCGCTCCTGGATTTCTTCAGGGAAAATGGGCGAGCCCGTGGTCAGTGTCCCCACACCTGGTATCCTGTCCTGGGATGAGTTTCGCAGTTTTTGGATCAGCTGGAAGGGAGGCATCATACAGGTGAGACAAAAAGAAAATTGTCTGTATTAAGAAAGTGTTCTGCCTTATTCAGTTGCTGAGTTGATTCTCTGATGCAAAGTAAAAAAAACAAAACACACTCAGCAGGGGCCTCATGTAGTGAGGTAGCATCCACACAAAACATGGCGTACGCCATTTTTCACGCAAAACTTCAGATGTATCAACAATGAAATGACTGTGGAAGTGTGCGCTGCCCCACACCAACCTCATGGATGGCGATACTGGGAAACTGTTAATGATGTGAAAACTATTATACATATTCTATATACTATATATACTATATCTACTATACTACGTGTCAAGGGTGGAGTCAGGTATTCCCTCGTGTGCTCAATTCCACGTTGATTGGGATGTACGAACGAAATGTGCTTGGATTCATGCGTACACATGCGTACACATGCGTACACATGCGTACACATGCGTACACATGCGTACACATACATCTGGATTTATTTGTGCATATGTTGGTCTCTCAAATTAAGCGTACATCATGTTTCAGTAGGAAATCCACACAAGTCTTTGTACATGAAGCCCCAGGTCATGGGTTCTATGTGTTGAGAGAACTAGCTCCACTTGTATTTTCTGCCATCCATTCATGATTCATGACAGGCCATTGTCACCAAGGAGGACACTTGGAAACTTTGGTCTAGTGTTCACACTGTAGTCAGTGGTTGTCACACCACTCAGTTGTCCCAGTCTCAACATTATCCTTGCATCAGTTCACCAAACACAACAATTAAAAGTCTATACATTACAATGTCCTGATGCTTGCTCAGTGATCCAGGTATAACAGTGTAACAAAGTTAAGTCAGGTCCTCAGGTTTGACAAACATGAATCCGTCCAGAGGACCTGATTTAACCTTGTTACATAAACCAGTATATTACAACCTTATTATGTCCTTGGGCAACCATGATTTTATAGGATGGGCTAATTATGTGGTTTTGTCTATATTATTCTCATCCATCCATCCATCCATCCATCCATCCATCCATCCATCCATCCATCCATCCATCCATCAATCAATCATCTTTTACCCACTTCTTCCTTTTTGGGTCATGGGGGTCACTGGTGCTCATATCCAGCAGTCACTGTGAGAGGCGGGGTACACCCTGGAAAGGTCTCCAGTCCATCACAGGGACACATGGAGAAAAACGAGACAAAAACCCATTCACTCTCTCACTCGCACCTAGGGACGATTTAGAGTTACCAATCAGTCTAACATGCATGCTTTTGGTCTGTGAGAAGAAACCAAAGTACCTGGAGAAAACCCACACATACATGAAGAGAACATGCAAACTCCACCCAGAAAGGCCCCTGGCTGGGATTCGATCCGGCAACCTTCTCACTGAGAAGCAACAGCTCTACCGAGTTACCGTGCCATCCTCGTTATTTTCCTATTAATTGAATTTGTGAGGTTAAACCTTTGTACCATATCAGAAGTGTTCTATGCTAGGGTCTGTTAAATGTTAAAAAAAAACTCCATGCTCAGTAATCCAGGTATACAATCCAACAATTTTCAGTCAGGTCATCTGGCTGGCATCGGGCTGGCATCAGAGGAGGCGGCGTGCCAAAGACACCATCTTAGCACCAACATAACTGGTTTGTTCCACTTTGAAGTAATCTGTTTGGGGGAAGAATCAGTTTTGTGTTGTACGTTTCCTTGACTGATGAAGCCTTCTGGATGGAAGGTGAAACATTTCAGCAAAAAAAAGAAACTGTCCAGATGACCTGACTGAAAATTGTTGGTCTGTTAAATGTTGTTTCGTATGTGGGAGGTGCATGAATCATGTTGGCATCACCATATAGAATATGGATGGATTAGAAGATAACTGTACCTGCTGCTTTGTTGAGTAGATAATGGATGACATGAGAGAAGTACCAGTAGTTTTACTAAAAAGTATAATAGCTTATCTGCCTTTTTTTCTGCAGGTGGGTTATGGCGTACACCCATCCAATGACTCTATCATTCTGCAGTGGGCAGGCTTCTTCGCAGGACAGGTTTGACTCTTTTATGGTATACTAAACAAAAATGCAGTACTATACAGTATTTGTAAATAAGATTATTATAATGTTCATTTTTTTGTCTATTCAGGTGCAACATATTGGCTTTTCAACAGGGTGGGGCTCTGTCGGAGAGTTCAAAATCTGGAGGAAGGAAGATTCTGATGACAATCACAATGAGGCATTCACACTGGGAGTTCCCCACAACATGGTGCCTGGATCAGAAAGAGCCACTGCATTTATGATTGGTATACTGATTGAATACATACAGTACACCTATCATTTTAAAAAAGTTTACATTCTCAAAACCTTGGCCATATCAAGCAGCTAAGTTATTTAGCAGTGTAAATACTTTGTATGTCATTGTATGTACTGTATGTGTCTATGTAACAGGGGATGTGATGGGACCAACTCTGAATAACCTGGACAAGCTGTTGAGGCTGCCCTTTGGGTGTGGAGAGCAAAATATGATTCATTTTGCCCCGAATGTCTTTGTTCTGAAGTACTTACAGAAGACCAGACAGCTGACCCCTGAGGTTGAAAATGAAGCAACTAACTATCTGCTTCAAGGTAAATACGCTGGAACCCAGTCTTTGTCACCCTTTCCTACTGGCTTAAAAATAAACTGCTTGCTAATGCCTTGTTTAAATTGCACTGTTTTGGAGTGAAATCGTAACATTTTGGCTGTTTCGGCTGTCCATGTACACAACAGTGATCATTTTCTGTGAAACCAAAGTTTTTTTTTTAATTCAGGTCTCAGAGTGGAGGTTTTTGAAAGCACCCTGCATTGATGTGAAATTGTGCATGTGCACTACGGTTGGCTGTGTCAGTAGTTTTTCTGTACTTGTGAGAGTAGACAAACAACAATAACAATGGTGGATATCAGAGTGCTGTTTGTTCACCCACATTGTTCCAATGTGCAGGAGCAAACCAACCTCATCCTCAGTCCAAATTAACATTTATGTATTCACCGTTTTGCATGTACAATAGTCCCTCATTTATTGCGGGGGTTATGTGCCCCCCCCCCCCCCCCCCGTAATAAGTGAAAAACCGTGAAGTAGGAATGCTATATATATATTTTAGTGTTTT